CCCACTGGGGCTGAGACTCTGGGTGAATCTAAACTGTGTGTTCCAGGTGAGTAGCTTGGCTCACTCGGGTCTGACCCTGCGTCGAAGTGGTTTCGCGGTCCTGCATGTCAGCATTGAGCCCTCGGCTCCACAGAGCACCCGTGCAAACTGCAGCCTGTGGGGTCTGTGTGACCACGGCTGGGCCTTAGCCTGCTCAGCTGCTCAGCAACGATCTGGTGGTGGCTGGTGAGCCCAGAGTCACTGCTTACAGCTCAGGGGCTGGGGAGACCAAGGGCAGAGAGACTGCAGATTTGGTGTATGGTTCATAGGTGTCACCTTCTCACTGTGCCCTTATATGATGGAAGGCGGGAAGGAGTCTTCTGACACCTTTGTTTCAGTGCTAGGGATTCAGGGCCTTGTATGTGCTACACACGTGTTCTACCGCGGAGCTACAGCCCCAGCCTGGGTCCCCTCCCTGCTCCCCTCTCCTCCCTCCCTCTCTTTCAGAGCAATGTACACTGTGAACCCTGGACTTACAACCTCAGTCGGTTCCGAAGGGCTGGTGGTAACTAAGTCAATACAGCTGAGATCTGGATATTTACCTGGTTACATGCTCTAGATAACAAGAGGCAAATGAATCTTCCATTAACCTCATTAGCCTGTTGTTCATATGGCAGGCAGGTTTTAACTTGAGGGTCCACTGTATTTATTTGTTTAGTTATTTGCATTGTAAAAGATTGCCACAACTGTACCTATTTATGAGGTATAATGTGATAATGTGATACGTATGTATAATGCCTAATAATCAGATTAGGTGATTAGCATTTCCTCCTCCTTAAATATTTATCCTTTCTTTGAGTTGGGAACCTTTGAACGCCTCCCTCCCGGTTCTTTATAAAACGCATAGTAAGCTGTTGTGCACTCTAGTGACTCTCCTGTGCTGTAATAAAACACTGGAACTTTTTCCTCCTCTGTATTTTGGTAGTCTTTGCCTCACCTCCCTCTAGCCCCTCTCCTCCCTACCCTCTCTGATCTCTAGTGAACACTTCTGCTCTCTACTATATTAATTTCTTTTAGCTTCCACATATGAATAAGAACGTGCAGTGTTTGTCTTTCTGTAACTATCTTATTTTGCATTACAGAATATCCTTCAGCTCCATTCCCATGGCTGAGGTCTTTCTCTTCTTTTTTTTTTTTTCTTTTTCCAGTACCGAGGATCAAACTCAGGACTTTGTGCTTGTGAGGCAGGCTTGGCGCCACTGAGCTAAATCCCCAGCCCCTGAAGTCTTTTTCTAAGGCCACTAATCCTAACCCTGAGGGCTCCACCCTCACTACCTGATCATACCCTAAATGCTACACCTCTAACACCATCACATTGGGGGTAGGCATTTCCACATACGAGTTGGTGTGGAGGGCACAGACTTTAAGACTACTGCACGCTGTTAAAGGCTGAGGGTATTGTCTGGGGAACCCTCCCTGTCCCTTCAGAGGTCCCAGCAAGAAGTGTCAAAAAGCACTGAGCTGTTCCTGGGTTCATCTTAACCTTGTGAGTTGAAACAGGGAGATTGCTCTCTGCTTTGGCTAACAGGAAGCTCAGAGTCCAGTCTGTAGCCCACCTCTGAGAACCGCACAGGCCCACCCAGAGAACAATTCTGTGTATTCCATTTTGGTGCACTGTACTGTTTGTTCTAGCATTGTTTTCTCTCTGATCTATTCTTATCCTATTGTATTTTATGTGCTTTTGTGAGTCGTCTCCAAATCCTTTTGGAACAGAGTACAGCATCAAAGGGCAAAATTCAGCAGAGCCCTGTTGCCTTGACAGGTTTTTGTTTTGTTTTGAACACTTGAGTGTCTCTTTGGGATTGGACTCCTGCTGAGGGGAGGCAGTCACCTTGGCCATCCCCTCCTGAGGGTCTCTCTCTAGGAGGACAGCAGCTCAGTGAGTTGTGGCAACAGGTTTCAGAGGCCAAACCACCACCACATCCATCTGCCTGCAAACTCCACTCCCTGCCCCAAAATGTTTTTCCCAGCTTCCCATCTGGCTGTTGACAGGCAGCCACAGGGCCTAGGGGAGATTGCAAAGGGGAAGTGGATAGATATGTGCTCCTGTTTGTATTTCTAACTCTTTTTCTGCAGCTTAAATCAGGGTGTTGGGGCCCAGGGATGAACTGTGGACAGAGAACCACTTGCAGGTGAGTCTGGGAGGCCACCTGCCCAGGTGTGCAGAAGATGAGGGGCTCTGGGGAAGCTGTCTTGGAGGGCCCAGGTGAGCTGGCGAGGGGTGGGGAGTGTCACACACAGGTGAGAGGCCAAGCCCTTCCTCCCCGCCTGAGTTCAGTCATCTCCTAGCCAACCCCACAACTACCACCCTCCCAGCTCTGGGAGCAGCTGCTGACGCATATGCATAAAATCCACCCTCCGGCTTGCCCTCACCTGCCTGGCCCCAGCCAAAGGCAGCCCAGTAGATTTTGCAATCTCTGCTCCATATAATCCTTGTTCTCTCAGCCTCAGTCTTCCCATCTCTAATTTGGGGGCGGTTATGAATCAGCCCTAACTTTTGAGGGTCCTAAGAATCCCTCACTGTCTGACATCCTCATTGCTTTCTTCTGGGAGTGGGGTGCAGCCTTTGTGGAGAGAGCAAGGGCTTACGTGAAGATAGGATCAAAGATGAAAAGCAAGCAGGGCCAGCTTGGACACCAGCAGGAGCACAGCCTGAGGCTGCGAGCTTGGCAACCAACCCAACTGCAACTCTGGTCCAGCCCAGTAGACAGAGGCCCTGGGAAGGGCAGTAGTTCTTCACCGAACCAGCAGCTGCTGGAGGAAGAACCTGGAGCTGTCAGTACCCCATCTGATATCTTTTTCTTTGGCTGAAGCCTGGATAAGGCAGGCATATCCTACTGGCAGGGCTGCCCTCTTGGTGCCTGGGCTGCACTCCCTGTCCAGGAACTGGACCCACCTGGCCTTTCCGGGTCCCACTGTGTGGGTCACAGGCTGGAAGGCCTTGTGGTTAAGAAGGGCTCTTGAGCTCATGGCTGGGCCAATCTGGCCTCCATTGACTAGGCCCATGGGGCTGGCCAGTTCCTTCCCCTTGAGCTGCCTCTCTATAAAATTGAGGTGCTGTGCATAGCATCAATCCCACAGCTTAGTTGTGAGAATTAAGGCCAATACAGAGGCTGACACATAGCAGTCACAACTGCTAACAGCCCTTAGTACATGAGTGGAACAGAATAGTGTGTACCCAATGAATATAAGAGAGCCCCCCGACCCCCGGAGAGGGGATGGGAGAGATGCCTGGGGGAGGGCTGGGCCTGGCTGGCGTCCCAGGCTAACTCTTCTCTGAGCCAGGAGGCTTGGGTCCCATCAGGTTTGGGGAAATGTGAGCTGAACTGAACGTCTCAGAAGTAGTTCCTGGTCCCTACTTCCAGTTGTGCGGGGTCAAGTGACCCCACACAACACCTGTGAAATGAACCATGCTCTGGGGAGGCCTCTACGTTTCTCAGGAGAACCCCAGAGACCAACAGGATGCAAGATTGAGGAAGGAGCCCCCAATCCCGACCCACACTCAGTCCATCAAGGGTCCAGTGTATGATCTCACTGTAAACAGAACTGATAGGAAGTTGAAAATGACTGAATTAGCACCTGATTTTGAAGATGGAAACACTGAACCTGTTCAGGAAGGGCAATAACTGGTCCCAGGCTACCAGGGAGCGCTCACCTGAGCCAAGGCGGAGCTCTGTGGCTAGGCTAGCTTCTCCTCTCTCCATTTATTCTGAGTCCACAGAGTCCCAGCCAGAATGCAACCTCGTGGATGCTGTGCCCCTGCAGGGCCCACCGAGAATCCTGGGGCATTTGGCATAGACAAGAGTGAGAGGGCTACAACACGTCTGGCTGTACCTTCCTGGGCCTTACCTGAACAGTGTCTTCCTCTCCTGTCGCCCCAAGCTAGGCCGCAGCCCCGAAGGACCCCATTACTCCTACCAGCCTGCCCTTGTGTCCCAGCCTTGCTCCCTGCGGCCCCTAACCACCCTTCTCGTAACTCCACCTTAGCAAGTCCTTCATTAGCTCTAAAGAGTCTGTCTAGAGACAGAGGAACCTGGATGACATTTAATTACCCTCTAATCGCCTCCGAGGGAGAAGATGAGCAAGGAGCCCAAATTTCTCTGCAGATGCTCAGAGGAGAGGGGCACAGTTTCTGCCAGAATTCGGTCACATGTCCTCAGCTAGCGAGAGCCAGCCCTGCCCCGGCCACGATCCCTTCTTACAGCTGCCCAGGGCCAAGGGACTGTGGGCGTGAGGAAGGGCAGGCTCTGAGACAGGAGCTGAGGCAGCAGGCAGAGGGGGTCACCCAGTTCCCACATCCAGGTTGGAGGCACCCCAACCTCGTTTCCCAAGGCACCAAAGCTATGCCATGCCCAGGAGTGGTAGCGGTGCAAAGGGCAGGGGTTTGAAATAATGACGTTTTAACTGCAGCTCTGATTACTTCTGTGACCTACCTCAGCCCCTCAGAGCACATTTCTTCATCTAGGAGAGGGGGTACAGAAGGGCTGTACCTCACTGAGCAGCGCAGCTGAGCGGAGAACTTGGCCCCCTTCACTTGATTCTTCAGGTCTAATGGAAGAGGGGAGAAAAGAGGGGACAGAGGCCCCTTTGTCCCAGCCCCTCTGAGCGCTGGGCGCAGAATCCTAGGTGGCAGGCCCGGTACACACGAACACCCAGCCTCCCTCATTCTGTACGGCTGTACGAACCCCACATCACTGGAAAGGTGATTTTATAGAGGAGAATGAGGCACCAAGGGGCCCAGTGGCCAAGGGCCCAAGGTCCCCAGCTGCTAAGCAGCAGTGAGGACATTATAGTTACTGAGCCAAAAGGGCCTGTACAGAGAGGACAAACAAGGCCACAGCCCCAAGGGGCCAAGAAAAAAGCCACTCAAGCCCCTGTGACCACAGGCTGCTCCAGGTGACCCTATCTGGCCACCCCCCCACCTTGAAGTAAGTTCTCCCAAAGCAGAGACAGACGCCAAATGTGCTAGAGGGCTTTTTAATGTTTTCTTGCTGCTTTAACAGAATGAAAAAATACAGTTTAGTGCCTGGAACTGACCTGGGGTGGGTGCCGAGGGCCACTCCTGGGGCAGGGCAGCCCTGGGATTCCAACCATTGAGGGAGCTAAGCTTCCAGAAACAGCAGCACAAGTCAGGAGCCAGGTTAGTGTCTCAGCGCCAGGACGGTCCCTCCAGGCCCACCACCCGCTGACGGCCAGGACCCCTTGTACTGTAGTTAGTTCTCTCCCCCGTCTTCCCTCTGACCTAGAAAAGGCAGAGGTCAGTCTGCCTATTCCCCGGACAGAAAAAGAATCAGCATCACCCCTGGGGCTCACCCCCCAGCTTCTTCTACTCAGTCCCCTGGGTAGAGTTACAGGAGGAGCAAAACCTGAATTTCAGAAAAACAACTCCTTAGCATAGGAACTTTCCAAATTGCATGGGCTCTACCAATTCTAAAAAAAAAATTATCTTTTGTTTACCCGAAATTCAAATTTATTTCAGCTTTCTGTTTTGTGTATTTTATTTTATTTTTTTGCTAAATCTGGCAACCCTCGCCCAGGGCCCAGACCTCCGCAGTGGGGGAGGGTCTGAGAAAGGAAGGGGAAAGGTTCCACACAGGGCAAGGGAGTCCAAACACATCCTCCACCCATGATATATTATTTTTTAATAATCATTTTCCAGAAATCTACACTGGCCTCCTGCAGCTGCTACAAGATAAGAGGGGGCATTCAAGAATACATCCCCCCACCACCGTTCAGGTTGGGCTGGTTTCTTTGAGGCAGGAGGTGCCCAGACTTGAGTATGCTGACAGTCTCTATAACTTCCAAGAGGAGAAGACTTGGTATAAAGGTTTTCTAAAAGGATTCCATTCTATTTATTAACACTGTTCCAAATATTGCTCTATAGGGATTTAAACGTAGTAATAAAGAACAAACACACCCACAAGCCCTGTTCCTAGTGTCATGTGGGAAGGAAGGGCCCTTCCTTGGGAACCCATCCATTACCATCCTGTCCTCACCCCTGCAAGGGACCATGTTTAGTGTCTGGTTCGCGGCTGGTCCCCTGCTCCAGTCTATCTCCCAGGGACTCAGGCTGCTGGAGCAGGAGCCAAGGAAGGAGCTGCAGGGGATGGGATGAGAGATCACCCACTTCCTTCTGCTATGCACACCTGCTTGGGGCCCTAGAGGTCACAGCAGTAACACCAGGAGAGAAAGGGGACAGAGAGCCAAGAGTCCTGGCCACGGAGTAAGCTGCCTCCGGCTGACCTGCGATGGGTGCCCAAGGTAGGAACTCAGGGTAACATCTCGTATCCATTTGAGGCCAGAATGGAGAAGGAGGAGGCCAAGAGGAAAACGGATTCCTGCTCAGAGAACACAGCCTGGTCCCATGCTGCTGTGGAGAGCAGGTGTGTGCACCTAGCCCAGCTCCCCAAATCCTCTGAGCCCCTCACCCATGAGGTCCTCTTGCACAGTAAGGTCAAAGGTCACAGTGGGGTGGGACCAGGGAGAAGACGCAGCTCAGAGCTCCGGCTACTTTCTGACCGCCTCACACGCGGATCTCGTCTTCCTCCTCCTCGTCCATGAAGGAGAACTCCTTGTCAGGCTGCCTCGGGACAGTGGGCTGGGCCCTGTCCGGGCCCCGGAAGGCCGGGCTGCGCTCCTCCAGGACACCTGAGGTGCAGCTGGAGAGGGAACTGCTGTCCCTCGTGGTGTGGCTGCCTACACTGCGGGCCGAGCTGGGGCTGGGGGCTGCCGCTGCCCACCCATTGTCCTCCAGAGCGTGAGAGGGCCTTGCCAGGGGAGGGGCCGCCTCAGCCAAAGGGGGAGCCTGGGTGACCCTGCCAGGGTCCTCGTCCATGTGGTAACCGCCACCATCCTCCTCAGGGTCCCACTCCTCCTTGTCCATGATGCTGAGGACGTCGCCCAGCATGGAGGGCCCCAGGTCAATGTGGAAGGACATGATGGACTCCGCATGCTTCAGCCCATAGCTGGCCTTGGGCACAACAGGCAGGTCTGTGAGGTCCCCAAAGGCCTGCTCATCAAGGAGGGGGTCCAGGGAGTGGGGACCCGTGGCCCCATTCCGGCGGGGCCCCAGCTCCCCAGCACCTGCCTCCTCTGCGCCGCATTCCCCAGCATCCGCCTTTTTCACAGGGCTGGATGACAGGCTCTTGGGCAGCTTGCTGGAGCCCTTCTCTGCAGCCTCTTTCTCGTTGAGCTGCGGCAGGGACATGGCGTTCTTGACGAAGAGTGCCGAGTCCCGAAGGGAGCCCAGCATATCTCTCTGCTCCCGGTCCCCCCGGGTCACCGACTGTGACCGCTTGCTACCCCGGAACTTCCGGGACAGGAGGCTGCGTTTGGAAGATGAGGAGGAGGCCTGTTCATCCAGGGACTCCCCGTCAGGCTCACCTGCCTTGCTGTTGAGGAAAGAGGTGTCTCCAAAAGCGTCCCCAGCCCGGCCCACGTGCATGGTGTGGCGGAAGTCACCCAGTGGAGCACTGATCATCTCGGCTGTGAGGTCCACGCGGGAACGGCGCTTGGAGTGCACCGAGCTGGACACCAGCTGCTTGAGAATGGGCATCTTGCTGGCTGGGAGGGAAGGCAGACCCTCCCAAGTGGCAGGCAGGTTTGGTGTCAGATCTGAAGTCCAGGTCTTGTGGCTGGAGAAGGAGGTGGCACCAAGGAGATCACAGGGCTGCAGAGAACAGGAGGGGCAGGGTTAATAGGCTGGCCACTCAGCACCGAAGCCCACCTGCCAAGGGGCCGTCACTGAAACCCCAGCTCTCCAAACAAAATGAAAAAATGTGAAAGGAGCCAGGGATCGGTTTTGCAACACTGCCTCTTTCTTCATCTGTAGGCTCGGAGGGTGGAGGAGTGGTTCTACATTTCTAGTTAAGAGTTCAGTAGCAAGAGGCACACTTTCCCTGAAACTTGAGAAACAGCTTTTCTTCTAAAGGACAATGTCTCTCCCAGTCCCTCCCCCAGCCAGGATGCTGCTAGAGCAAAGGAGACCACTCTGAAGGACAAGGACGAAGGACACAGAGGTGCTTAAATCATTCAAGGCAGCCAGCCTGGAGACTTGTTGAGGTTCTTCCTGCTATCTGACCCTGTGGGGACGTCTCATCCTGAGTCACAGTCTTCAGCGACAAGACAAGAAGACAGGCAGGGCCCAAGGGGAGGGCAACACTGCCCGGAACATGGGTGGCCTGGCATTCCTGAATCAGAATTCGGGTGGGGCTGTGGCGACCAACAAAACCAGCTTCCCAGCCTTCCAGAGCCACTGGGTGTCCTACCAACGAGGATCTCGCCTGCGATAACTCCACTGTGGGCCTCTAAACCAGGTTCCACCTCTGGTCTCTTAGGGAGCATCTAGACTGGGAAACTCCCTCCCATTTCTTTAATCATTAGTGGCAGAGAGAGACAGGCATGAGCCCCTCAATGACAGCTCTCCGGGACCTGCAGGACTCCGATGATGAGCCTGAAGTCCAAAAAACAGCAGGCGGAGGGCCCAGGACAGCCCCTGGCAGCTCCTGGCAAGGGCTAAGTTGAAGTTCAGTATGGGGCTTAACCTCTCTCCCCTGAGTGCCCTTTCTTGAAGGTTTTGAGACAGGGTCACTAAATCACTAAACTGTTTAGGTTGGGTCCATCTTGGGATGCTACAGCTTGAGCCTCCCAGAGTGCTGGGATTATAAACAAGTGCCACCATGCCCAAATGCTAATCCCAGCTGAGCTGGGCAAGGTGGGGAGAGAGAGATGCGGGAGGAGTCAGACAAGCCTGGTGGGTGGGGTGGACTGGGGTCCCCAGGGGCTGCCTCCCTCCCAGGCCTGCGGACGGCACAGGTCCCAGGCACCTTCACCCCAGGGCCACTGCCCTCAGGGAAGTTCAGTCAGGCACAGACAGTGCGCTGCCTCCTCACACCCTCCCAGCACAGTTAAGTCCAACACCACCCTCCTGCCCTTCTCTGGTCCCCCGTGTCTCCCCTTCTACCTTCATCTCAGCACACAGCACAGGACTTCTGTGCCCTCTGGCCCCTCCTCCCCCGCCCTATCATTCCAAAGCAGGCAGCTGCCACCGAGCCAACTCCCGACCCCCCTAAGTTCTCCTCACGTGGCTGGGCACTCACACTGCTCGTCCTCCAGCAAACAACTAGTTCTCAGGGACAGGTATGGGGGACAGGCACAGGGATGGACCTACCCCAAGTGACCTGGCTGGCTCGCAGCCCGAGAGGACTCCCTGGGAAACCCCGTAGGATGGGTTAGCACTCTTACCTCTCCGCTAGACCCACAGGCACGCTGACTTCCCCTGACCCCATCCTCCTCTGAACAGACACTGAACAGCCTGACCAGGTCCCAGCAAACCCTTTTGCAAAGGGCCAGAGTGCAAATATTTTCATCTTTTTGGCTGATACAGTCTTTCTCACATCTACTTAACTCTGTCTTCTTAGAAGAAAAGAGCCAAAAACAAATTTGCACACAAATGGATGTGTCTTTGTGCCAGTAGGACTTTATTTACAGAAAACACCAGGGCTCGCTGGAGGGTAGAATGTACCAGTCCAGAAACCTTCCACTTGGCTGCTCCCAGGTGTGGCCCTTAAATAAACTAGTAAATGCAAAAATAAAACAAAACAAAGCCCACCTTTATTTCCAAAACCAAACAACAGGGTGGATTTGGCCCAGGGTCAAGTTTGCTGACCTAGAATGCCTCAGGTGACCCTCTGGGCCAGCCATGGGCTCCTGGGCCAAAACTGGGGGAAATTTCTGTGCCAGTCACAGTGAGCACACAAGAAAACTAAAGCCGATTTCCATGAGAGCCCAGGAAACTCCTGGTCTCTGCCACCAGGACCGGCAGTGAGGCTGCAGCCCAGCAACCTGGAATCTCAAATTGCCAGAAGGGATATCCGGGGCAGAACGGAACTTTCATCCTCAGGCTGCCCAAAGCAAGGCCACTCGGGCGGGTTCACATCCCAGGGAGGCACTAGGATCAGGCTGGCGCCCACTCTGATCTTCCTGCTAACCCAGCACTGCTCAGGGGCCACTACCTGCTGGCTGGTGCGATGCAGAGAAGGGAGGGGAGAGCCTGGCTGTTGCCTCAGGTCTTGCACAATCCCAGAACGGGTCTTGACACTGTGAAGGCTTTGCGCCGAAGAACAGGGGTGGGGGTGCCCTGTGCATAGTAATGTTCCCAGCATCTCTGGACAGTACCTGCTGGATGCCAACAGCATCCATCCCTGTTGTGCTATCACCATCAGCAGCAGCAGCAGCAGCAGTATAAGGAATGGAACTCAGGGCCACTAATTTAAAATTTAGGGTCTCACTGAGTCACGAAATTGCTAAATTGGGGTGAAACTTGTGATCCTTCTGCCTCAGCCTCCCATAGTACTGGGATTATAGGCCTGTGCCACCACATCCAGCTCCATCTCAGTTTTGACAATCCAAATGGTCTTGAGCTAGCCCAATGTCCCCTGGGAGGCAAAACTGGCCCAGTCTGAGATCCACTGACCTAGGGTGAGAACACACATGAAAATAAGACATGGACTACTAGAAACAAAGGGGGCAGACCTCAAGGGTCGGAACTGGGTGAGAGCGTGGGGAACCAGACATCCAGAGTTTCACAAGGGTTCTGATATAACAGAGGAATCCCCAAGACCAGGAAGTTCAGCAAGCTGTGGTTTCCCAACTGAAGCACTCAGCAGAAAGCAGAGGGGAAACCACAGCTGCCCAGGACTCACCAAGATGCATGCTGGGCATCCCTGTGGCCACCCGGGGGAACCAAGGCATCCTAGCTACAGGGAGAGGGGCCCCACCATCCCATTAGCTATGCCTTTCCCAGCACAGCTAGGCAGAGAGGGCTACAAAGGCCTTAAAATTAGCGAGAACTGATGCATGGCACTGCCATACATGTGCGCCCTTCCTAGGCCAGCCTGGGGTCCCCCAGGATCCTGCTCCGCTCCACACCCCAGAAAGTGGCAAGTCTCTCAATGCTTTTCTGCTTCCTCCCCAGGTGTGGCACGGGGCTTGTGACAAAGCACCTTCAATATCCAGCAGGGAAGGGGCCCTAGAGAGCTGGGGTCTCAGCTCGTCCCACTATCCCAGTGGTAGGGGTGCTGCAGTGCCCAGCAGTCCAGGGTGGGGCAATGCTGGGACTTTGGAGTCCCGAGCTTGAGCAGATAAGACAGGCCAAGTGGTAGGCTGAGGCCAGCAAGAACTCGATGGGTTTCTCCTAGTCTTCGGTGTCATGGGTCCATGTGACACTGAGTCACCCTAAGCTCCTAACAGAATGATTTGGGGGTGAGGACACCAACAGGTGGTTAAGAGCAAGGAGGTGATAGGAACAGTAGCTCCAGCCAGAGGCAGGGGCCATCCTGGGGATGGGAGTTTGGGGTCCTCTAGTGCCCACCCAAAGGGGATCAGGACCTTGGTGCTGTAGCTTTGGGAGGAGTGTTGCTGTGCGCTGACTCAGTTTTGGGGAAGTGGCCTTGGACAGGCAACCACTCCCCATGGTTTCCCTAGTGGGATATCCCCAACCCACCCTGGAGGCACATCCTGCTTCGCTGCACAGAAAGGGTAAGCAAATCTATAGCTCCAAGTGCTCCCCAGCTCTTCTGTGCTTCCAGAGGACCAGATTCCTCCACCTTCCACCTCATCAGCCACAGAGCTTTTACCTTCCCCTAAGGTGGGGAATAACCAGCCCTTCCGGGTGGGTCCACACCAACCACACCCTGAGCTTGGCCCCTGGGAATACAAAGGACAAGCTCTGCCTGGCCCTGTCATCGCTCTCCCGGGCAGGGGCACAGCGAATGGCACTCCGCCCCCACCATCCGCCAGCCTAGCAGCCCCTCAGAGAAAGAGAGGACAGGTTGGACCAAAGCTCCTGCTCCAAATGCCCAGAGCTGGCCTGTTCCGGGCAGTGTAGCCCAAAGCAAGACGCAGACCTGAGCTCTCTGTAACAGGCAGGGAGGCAGGCCTCCTGTCCACTCCGCAGCTGACCTATGGTTCAACCCAGGACACGTGCGCTTCGGCACCCACTCCCACTGCCCCGGGCAGCTCCCCCACCATGGGCCCTTTCTGGATCCTAACAGTCTACTGATACCAACTCCAGGTAATGCAGCTGGGCAGAGAGGGACCCGGGACATGATGATGTTAGTCATGGCTCAGATAGGTGCAGGGGGCTTTGTTTACTCTTCAGTACCCATCCATTCGATCAGTGTCTTACTGAGACTCCCCTCTTGCTGTAACATTTCATCACGATCAGTCCTCTGTAACCCTGATTCCACATCCAGCCAACCACTGATCGAAAATCTTTGGGAAGAAAATCGTATTTGGTGCCGAACAGGTCCAGACCTTTTCCTTGTTATTAACTTTCTAAATAATACAGTATAAGCAAGATCTATACACCATTTACAGGGAATTAGGTATTACAAACAACCCAGAGAGGATTTAAAGAATATAGGAGGAGGTGCACAGATTCTATGCAAATATGCCATTTTATAAGAGAACCTTGCGCACCTGTGGGTTTTGGTATCTGAGCGAAGGCCCTGAGACAGGAACAGGTGTGTGGCAGTTCAGGACTAGAATGAAAACCCATGTGGCCAGCAGTCAGGTCACACAAGGCCCTTCCTGCCTGACCAGGTGAGGAGTCTGGAGTACACAAACCAACCGCCACTTGTAAGCAAGAGGGTGACCCACCCTACGGAT